ATTTTGCTTCTTATGATATTAGTTATAATCATTTCATGATCTTCATTTGGTTGATTTCAAATTTCTAGCAAAATTTCAATTTTGGACAAGCTTTATTTTATTATTTAGGAAAATTTTACTTATTCGCTGATTTTCTTCTAAAGTAAATTGGAAATTTGTGTGCTTTTTTTGTTCATCCAATCATAGATATGCATTAAAGAAAGCCTAAGTCCTAAGATATCTGACATCACAAATAAGATATGATAACGTTGTCACTTGGGATTGTGCATTGGATTCTTTGTGAACGTTTCCATGGAGTGTCCCATAGGTTCCTTCTCCAATCATGGTTGTTCATTTGCCATCATCAGTTCAAATGGCCATTATCTTCCTTGTGGCTCCTCCTATATAAACTCTCATCTATTATTTCTCCTTTGATGTGTTCCTCAATCCTTCATGAAAATTTTTCGGTAATTGATAGCTTCAAGATCTTAGCAGGCTTCGACCATCAAATTTCCATTATTTTGTTATCAAAGTATAAATTCTCTTCATCACAAAGTTATAAGATAAACCAGCTCTTATCTTCACTAGTTCAAAAATATCTGAATTACCTAGCTGATTTTCCTTTTTCCTTCTCTATAACGGCCAAGTTCTCAATGAGACGCCCTAGTCATAATATTATGCATTCATTCATGTTAGACTTGCATTTGACTATAGAGGGCTTCTTAATCTTCATCATATTATTATTATCTGTTGGTGCTGATACTCTAGATTATTTTCACATTATCATATTATGTGAGTAGTTTCTCGTTGCAAATGTTAACTGATATTTTCATTTTGACTCAACCATAAAATCTCTAATCAGTCCTACAGAATTTCTTTTTCAATATTATAATCAATCTATACTATATTCTCTGAGCTCTATCTTTGGCAAACTCTTGCAAGTATATGATGTTATCACTCACTCCTTTGGGCTATATATGGCATAAGTTTTAGTTCATCTCAAAGTTGCTAGGCCTCCGGACAATAAGGTTTTGATTAACTCATGGTCTTGTAATTATTGCAAGAATATTATATCTAAAAATATGCATTCACATTGTACCACTTACAAAATTTTAGACGCCACTGCTCTGATTACTTCAAAACTCATCCATAATTAAGGAAAGCATTTGTCATTGATCCTTACATAACAAAAACACAATAACAAACCTTTATCCAACTAAGTGGGTTTGGTTACATGAATCTTTTTTCTCCATTTTGTCCTATTGAGTTTCATGTATTCATTTAATTCTAATTTATTAAGATCTTTTTTTACACAGTATGTCCAAATCTTTTTAAGGTCTACCTCTACCTTTCTTACCATAAGTCAAATCTAAAAAAGATACCTCCTAACAGAGCATTAGATGGTCAACGTTTAATGTGACAAATCCATCTTAAAATAACCCTCTCCAATCTTGTCAATCATCTTTTAGTTCGAACACAAGTAACAACTCTAGTATACATATCTTTAATGACAAGAATTTAAATTATATCAACTCATTTCTTTTCTAAAACTCTCCAAAGTACTTCTCTTGATACTTTATCATAAGTTTTTTTCTAAATCAAAAAAATCATATGTAGATCCTCCTTACTTTCTCTGTACTTCTCCATCAAACCTCACAATAAATGTATAGCTTCAATTGTACACTTGTCGGGAATAAATCCAAATTTATTTTGAGAAATATTTGTATCATGCTTAACCTATGTTCAATTACTCTCTTCCATACTTTTAACATATGACACATTAACTTATTTCCATTATAATTTGCATGTTCATGTGTATCCCCTTTAAGAGATTTGGGAGTTTCTTGGCTAACTAAACTCTTTAGTATTATTTTAAAAACTAAAAAGATGTCTGAGGAGTGGAGGAAGAGTATTTTGATCCCATTTTTAAGAATAAAGATGATGCATAAGAGTGTGCAAATTATAAAGGAATAAAGTTGTTGTGTCATACTTTAAAATTATGGGAGAGGGTAATTAAACATAGGTTAAGACGTATTAAAAAGGTTTCTCATAATCAATTTAGATTTTATGTCGGGCAAGGGCAAGTCTACTATGGAAGCTATATACTTATTGAGAAGGTTGACGGAGAAAGTCAGAGATAATAAGGAGAATCTACATTTGATTATTAATGATTTAGAAAAAGCTTACGATAAGGTTCCAAGAGAAATCCTTTCGAGAGTTCTTGAGAAGAAAGGTGTTGATATGACTTATATTCAAGTCATTAAAGATATGTATACTAGAGTTGTTACTTGTGTTCGAACTGAAGGAGGATTGACCAAATATTTTCCTATTTCTGTTGGATTACAACAAGGATCGGCTTAAGCTCATATCTTTTTTTTTTCTTTAGTTATGGATGGGCTTACTTAAGTACCGTGGTGTATACTTTTTGCTGATGATATCCTTCTCGTGGATAAGAAGAGAGAAAAAGCCCAAGAAAAACTTCAATTATGAAGGTCTACGTTGGAGTCTAAAGGTCTTCATTTGAGTAGAACTAAAACTGAATACATTGAATGTAATTTCAGTAGTAGTAGTTCTAGTGACAGAAGTGTAACTTTGGGTGATCAAATTATTAAAAGGTGTGAACGATTTAGATATCTCGGGTCTGTTGTTCAAAGCAATGATGATATAGATGGGGATGTTAATAGTAGAATTCAAGTTGGTTGGTTGAAGTGGAGGAATGCTTTGGGCCTTTTGTGTGATAGAAAAGTACCGGTCAAACTGAAAGAAAAATTTTATAAGACGGTGGTGAGACCTGCAATGCTCTATGGCGTTGAATGTTGACCTTTAAAAGAGAAGCATAATACTAAGTTAAGTGTTGTCGAGATGAGAATGATTCAGTGATGAGTGGCTTTACACTTAGAGACAAAATGCAAAATGAATATATCTGTGATAGGGTTGGTGTAGCTACTGTGACGGACAAAATTAAAGCAAGTCATCTTAAATGGTTTGGTCACATTAAGCGTCGACCATCTGATAATCCGATTAGGAGAGTAGAAATTTTAGATTCGACTTATGTTAAGAAAGACAGAGGTTGACTTAGGAAAACTTGGGCTTATTGTATAAAAAATGATCTTAATTTATTACAACAAAATGAAAATATGACACTAAATAAGATGCAATGGAGAAAAAGGGTTCATGTAGCCGACCACGCTTAGTGGGATTAAGGCTTTGTTGTTGTTGTTGTGTTGGAGAAAAAATATTTCAAAATTTTATGACTTTTGTTCCCTTTATTCTTAAAAATACGGACCAAAATACTCTTCTTCCACTCCACGGAAAACTTTTTAGTTTCTTAAAAAATATTAAGAAGTTTAGGAAGCAACGAAATTGTGAAATCACCTAACCATTTCCATACTTCTATTGAGATACTATCAAGTCCTATTGATTTTCCACCCTTCATTTACTTTAAAGCCCCCTAAATTTTTGTTTTACTAATACGATGATAAAAATAAAAATCTTTATTATTATAAACTATATTAAAATCACTAAAGTCAATTGAATTATCAAAATGTTTATTAAAACATTTATCAAAATATCTCGCTCACCTATGTTGAATATTCTTTCCTAAGAAAGGTACTTTTCGATTTTCATCACTAATACAAATTGCTTTAACTAAATCTTTATTTTTCTCAACTTATTGTTTGGCTAGTTTATCCATATATTTTTAACCCTCTTCATTATCCAATATATTATAAAAATAACTAAAAGTAGAATTCTTAATATCAAAAAATTTTTTCTTGGACTCCCTTATGGGTCACCTTATATTTTTCTCAATTTTCGAAACTTTCACATTTAGACCAATTTTTATAGCACACTTTTACGGTCAACAAATATGGGAGCATGTAAATAATCAAAATCTCTCTTCAAAGGTGGTGAAAACAATTCCAACTTCATCAGTTCAGGTATACGTGAAAAATTAGGAATAAACTCTAGTTATTAAAATAAGAACTGTGGAGAACAGCATAAACATTTATGCATCAAAAATCATTATTCCAAATTCTCCAAAGGAATTATGTCCCGATTAAAATTCTGCAGTAGAGGATGTTGATGTCACCTAGTCTAAGCAGTTTTTGGATTTAGAAGAAAGCCATTTAAGTATTGACATCCATCCAAATCATATGAGATTTCATATCCTATTTTCTAGAAAGGGAAAAATTAAAAAAAAAAAAATTACCATTGCTCTCCAGTATTTGTATTTACTAAATTTCATGTGAAACCGCACAAATTAAAGCTTATCATGGATATCTTCACTTTCATGTTATCCTTGCTATTTTACATCTACATTTCATTGTAATTGTAGCCTGTGTGCTCATTTAATAATATAGTTATAATGTTTAGCTTCTATAAAAAAAAGATGACATTGATAATTTATAGAATTAAATATTAAATTTTCCTATTATTTCAGAATGTAAAATATGACTTCATTTTTTTACAATTATTATAAAGGTTGTTTAGAGTTCATTGAAACATTAAACATATTATTCTGGAACCATCTCACATAAACACAAATTACAGCAGTACAATTTTTTTTTTCAATATCGAATTTGGGGTTAGCTTTATATAAATCTTTTATTTGCTATGATTTCATAAAATATGTTTAAATTATAGCTAGATTTGATGTTCCCTCAATTAAATACGACTTAACTCGAAGCATCCCACTGGTTCAAAAGATAGAACATCTTCAAAGTTTGATAACTTAACAGTAGATAAAAGTAATAATAATAAGACATGCAGAAACTACATTACATGCTGAAATAAAAAGAAATATTTCAACATTAAATAAAAATAATATAATCAATACATTTTGATGAATGATTTCAAATACTTTCCTATTCTTGTCAGATTATGGGCCACCTATCATGCAGATAGTTTAAAAGAACCAGTTGCAAGATGTCATATTTCCTCCAAAAACAAGCATAGATATAACTGGTAAGAGTTCGCAACTTTACAAATTTACTATTCTTATTAAATCAGCAAAAACTGACCATTTTTCTTTTTTCAGGATCTCTGAATGCTAGATCACCAAGATCTTTCTGTGGAAACAACTTCGCTTCAGGTAAAATATATGACAGCAGAGATAATGCGTTCAAAATGGCAGCAGGCGGAGTCACATCTTCTGCAATCTTAAAAGTTCAACAAATTAAAGTCAATTGCTAACAGATTGTAACTGATAACACAGTTAACAAAAGGCCAATATATATATATATATATATATATATATATATATCGACACACACATAATGGAAAAGAAATGTAGAAACTATATGAAAAGAGTTACGTTCTATTTATGGAAATTAGAATATAAAAAAAGGATGTAATTAGCACATGAGAAGCTGCTGTTGACCACATTTTTGTGAGGTCTTCTCTTCTCCTCCTTAGAGCCTAGGATCTAGTTCTAAGAGTTCTTATTGATCGTCTTAGAAAATTAGAATTGATACCCACGCTTTTAGAAAAACCTAGTCAATTCTTATTTTCCTTTGATGTCTAGCATTTTTGGCACAAGACCATCGTCTTATGAACGAGTGGTTATGAGTTATTTTGCGAAGACTGAAGGGAAAAGTTCCTAATAGGACTTCAAGCCTTAAGAAAACATCGTCACGCTTTTCCGTCACATACACACACCAAATACACAAAGTTCACAAAATTGCACGAAATCGGACTTCAATTAAGCCCAGAGGAGGAATCAAAATGCGAACTTCTCTGGATGATCTCCGACGACAAATTGGACTGCGCCAACGCGTCTGGGATACCAATTTTTGCAGGAAAAAACACTCATATTATCATGTTTTCAACACAAGAAAATTTGTACGCAAATCGATGAATTCATCAAAACGACTTCCGACGGCGAAACGGACTGCGCCAGTGCGTCTGGAACGTCAGAATTACCCAAAATTGACATCTATTTTATGATGATGTGACACACTAATAAAAATGCACAAATCAAATTTTACTTTTTGAAATAATTAATATTTTCATATTTATATTATTAATAATCTTAATTATATACCCTAAATCGTATATTAATACGGTATATTCATACGTTCAATTGCCCATTTATCTATCGCGGCTCGATCGAAGCTCGGCTCGCCGCTCCCGCATCTCCTCTGTCGTTCGCGAAGAAGCCCTAGCCCCCCCATCTGCCGCATCGAAGTCGATCGAGCGGCGCCAGGGCCCCCCTCCGCCCCTCTTTTCCCTCTCGTTCGCTCGCAGTACAGACGAATCTCTAGGGGCCGAACCAAATCTTCCCCAATCGGCATCCTGAATCTTGAATCACCACTGTCCTCTCACTCGCCGAACTCCTCTCCTCTCTTGGCCGAAGTTTTTGGTCCCCCCACTGAAACCCTGTCTAAAAGCTTCCACGCCGTGCCACGCGAGCTGCGCCTCTGCGATTCTCGTCGTCACCTCCTCACGCGAGGTTTGTCGCTTCTCTTGGCTCCCCCCCCCCCCCCCGCGGGCGGGGGTTCCTAGGGCTGGCCGAAAATTGAAAGAAAAGGGGAGGTGCTGCCTTTTTGTATCTAGGAGTGGTGGCCGAATTTCTGCAAAGAGGAAGTGCTGCTGGATTTTTTTGTGGCTTGTTCGGTTTTCCTTGCTGGTTCACTCATTAGCTTTGCTTGGTTGCTTGTTTGGTCATTGAGATTTTCGATTGAAGCTTTGAGAGAGGAGAGGTGCTGCCGAGATTCTCATTGCTTGATGTTTGTTCTCTCGTGGAGTTCCGTAGCTTGTTCATCTGCTCTTTCTTTTAGGACAGTTGAGCCGATAATATTTCATGCATATCCTGTTCCTATGCGAATTTCATGATATATGAATTTCTATTCGTATATATTTCGATTGGTCACATAAGGTTCGAATTGCGTGAAAATTTATGCACATTCTATATATTTTGAAGGCTGCAATGTTTGAAAAGCTTCACCAATGTTTGAAAAGCTGCAATGTTTGAAAAGCTTCACCAGGTTCTATTGTAAAAATCAAAAAATTAGGTGCTATATATTTAAATGTGTGAGGAATCGAACGGCATGCGTGAAGGTGATTGCTGGGGCCCTTTTTTATCATGAATACTGCACTTCTATTGTTACCTTGTGATTTCGAGGGGCTTAATTGTTACTTTATTTGAGCTATGTTATTATCCGTTAAGACCTGTGTGAACACCAATTTGCAAAAAGATTTAAGTGTTATTCTTTAAGATGGGTCATTAACATTGGGTCTTTAAGGACGAATATCACCGCTTGTTTAATTTCTTGATTATGCGGTGTCATATAAATGCAGAAATTTAACAAAAAAAATCTGGAATTGAGAAGTTTAGGACTGTTTTGGCCTAGTGGCTTAATGTTTTAGTTTGATATTTGGGAGAGTTTTGTGTTGGGGTTTTCGGCCTTGCCTTGTTACTGTTTTTGCCACTCATCTTCGCTGTTTTACGGAGTTCAACTTAGCATATTTGGGTTTGAATCTAAATGTTAATTGGAACCTCTAAATGAACCTTTTCTAGTGGTAATTTGAGCTGAATTTACTGCAGTTTTGGGGTATTAACTTTTATGCCACGCAATGCTTTTGTATTTACATGCTTAGCTCATAAAGTTTCATCTTCACATATGTCATGCAACTCTTATACTCTTGTAAAGTATTGCCAAAAAGGTCATCGATAATTTCAGCCATGTGAATAAGCTTGGGGAGGAAATTTTCAACGCTCTCAAAATCTGAAATATTTGTGGTGTTATATTTACAAAAATCTGAAATATTTGAATGTTATATTTGCAAAAATCTGAAACAATTGAGTGTTATACTTGCAAAAATCTGAAAATTTTTTGTGGCATATTTGCAAAAATTTGAAATATTTGTGGTGTTATATTTGCAAAACCTAAAACATTCGAGTGTTATATTTACAAAAATCTGAAATATTTGTGGGGCTCATTTGCAAAACCTGAAACATTTGAGTGTTATATTTACAAAAATCTGAAACATTTGAGTGTTATATTTGCAAAACCTGAAACATTTGAGTGTTATATTTACAAAAATCTGAAACATTTGAGTGTTATATTTGCAAAACCTGAAACATTCAAGTGTTATATTCGCAAAAATCTGAAATATTTGCTGGGCTTATTTGCAAAATCTGAAACACATGGGTGTTATCTTTGCAAAAATCTGAGAACATTGGTTAGCCTATTTGCGAAAATCTGAAATGCATGATAGGTGGGATGTTGATTTGAGCCTATATGTTCATTCCCTATTATTAATACGTGTTTTACCACTTGTTGAGGCTCGATTTTGGCTCTTTGGAGCTGGATAAAGGCTAAAAATATTTCTTTGTTTTCACCATGTTGGATTTATATCTCATTATAAACTTTTGATGAAGAATGTGATTAAATTATTTTTGACATAGGTATGTTTTTTCTAGAAGGCTAGGGAATTACTTCTTTCATTAATTAGTGTTTCTTCTTTTTATGAAATGTAAAAGGATTGTACAATTTCATTTGGAGAAAATATAGGGTTGATGTAAATTTGATTTATGAAGAGGTTTGGAAATTCATGAAAATGTCATGCGTTGATAAAAAAAAGTGAGAAAATAATATCTTTCTAAGATTGATTCAAAGCTCTTGAAGCTTCATTTTGAGATTAATATCAAATTTGAATTATAAAGGGGTTTGGAAATCCATAAAAGTGTCACTTGGAAAGGATATCCTTCTCGGGATTGATCTGATTATTTTCCTTTTTGACGAATTTAATCGTTTTAGACCGATACATTCATGATTTTATTTTAAACTTCACTGATTTGGCTTGGTTTTAAAATGGATCGGTCTCCTTTCGGTTTGTTTTTTTTTGCTTTTTTTTTTACGGTCAAGTTAAAAATGGGAATTCCGATTTAATTATATTCAGAAGTGATTTACAGTCTCAAGCTTAAGGGAAAGAGAAAGGGAGAGAAAATTTAAAAATAAGATTTTGATCTTCGAGGTGATAAAATCTAAAGGGAGGATAGAATAGTGAATCATCTACCGTTCCTTTTTGCATATGAAAGATAAAACTGTAAATTGGAAGAATATTTAGGGGTAGGAAGAAAGTGAGAGTTTAGATAACAATTAAGGATATGGATTGAAAAGATTAGTAGACCTGCACTTAGGTCCTTTAAGTTTGGAATAAACCTACATCCAATTCTCCTAATTAGATTTGAATCACACTTCACAACTCTTTTGCCAAAGCTATAGGTTACCCCTTAGGTTTTAGGAGCCTAATGGTGAGCTAAACTTAATCTAAAGATGCTTGAGGGTTAGTTAAGAGGCACTTAGTTGAGGTTAGACACTTTAAGACACTTCAAGTAAACTAAAGTGTATGTTTCCTAGGTGTTTCCTTAAAGTGTATGTTTCCTAAGTCTTAGGAGCACACCTTAAGAGAGTTTATCATCCTAATTTTCAAATGATCCTAAGATGTCAGACATCTGACCCCAGTTCATAAAATAATAAGGACACTAGGCACAAGGGTGCACTAGATTGTGATTCATAACTGATTTAATTAGATCAAATAATGAAATAAATAATGAAATTATTAGATCAAATAATGAAATTCTTACCTTAACTTGACCAAAACTGAAACTCAATGCTCCGTGATTTGGGTTTATCTTACACTCAAATCCTCTTGGCAATTAGGGACATTCCAATGTATAAATTTCCTATTCTTGGTCCTTTATATGTGATATTGTATTTCATTTTATTTGTTTGTCCTTTTCTTATGATTTACTTGTTTCTGTTAAGTCTTTTTCAGGTCATACTTTCCTCTTTTACACAGCGCATAATAGCTAAACTTAAAGGAGCAATGAACCTACCAGGTGTACAGGTTTAATTTATATTACAGCATTTTATTTTCCCAACATGTTATATTGTTTTTATATCCTGTTATACTACTGTTTATAGCATGTTATACTCTTTTTTCAACATGTCATACTGTCTTTCCTTTTTACTGTACAGTACATTGTTACTTTTCTTTCACATTGCATGCTTAGTTACTTTGATATGTTATGGCTTAGTATAGAATAACCTAGTGGTTAGGAGCATGTTCAAAACTAAAACTAAACCAGGAGGTGCTACTACGAGAAGCTTGGAGCGAACATCGTGGGCGGCACGACGAGGAACAACTTCAAAGTGGATCTGCAACAGATAAACATCAAAACACATCATATAAATTATTACTTTCTTTAGTTTAAATAACAACCCATAGGATCACTCTTTACACTTTTTGTACTCCTCAACTCTTTAGACTTTTTGTACAACTGTGTTGTACAATTATAAGTCCTAACGCTTTGGGATTCCGAGGTTACCATGCGGTACGGTGTAAATCCTCCTATCTTTTTAGGTTATTTGCACAGTTCGATATTGTGTAAACATAAGTCCTAAATCATAAATAATTTGCAGGATTGAAATATCAAATTAAATCATTTCGAAAGACATCAAGTCAAATAATAGGATAGTTGGGATATCTCCGGGGTTTCTCCTGGATCTGTGATATCCCCTACTTTTTTTCCATTTGGATTCCTTAAATAATTGTTTCTATTTTGAGTCTTTCTTATTTGATTTTCCCATGTCCAATCATGAAAACCTAAACTTTGAAATCTTGAAAACAAAACCACCAGATCTTAATCGAGAGTTTTCTTAAGTGATTTCGATCATTTAAGATGTAATTAACTATAGGGGCTTGCCTCTATAGGGAACCAGGAACCCAGATAAAATAAATCCTATCTAATTTTTTTATGTTGGATAGGAGAACTTGTTGGCCTTTTTATAAAAATATTTCGCAGACTAACACGGATGTCACAAATTGTTTAATCTAGGTGATTGAATCGCTATTACAAGTGATATATTTATCCTTCGGGATAAGTGTATTACTTGTAGTATTGTATTCAATTATTTAAGTTATTTAAGTTATTTAAAATGTGAAGTTATTTAAAATGTGAGACCCGTTTGGTCGTATCTATATTAAAAATCAAGAAGGGTTATATTTATATTTAAATTATTTTCAAAATCACAAAATCATTCACTTTTTCAAATCACGAAGTTAAAAATAAAACGGCCGACAGCTACCCACCGAAACTGATACTAAAGTCCTAAAGAAGTACATTTATGTATGATTCTAATATATTGCAATGACGACTATTTAAGCAAAGAATTAGGATATTTTAGCCGATTCAAGAAAATTTTCATTATTTATTATTTTAAATGACTGCTGCAATTCTACCGAAGCTACATGCATTGTTGTTGTGTTCTTTTAGAATCAACCATATAACTTGCCAATATCACAAGAAAATTGAAACTTAAACCCGCCAAGGCTTGCTCCTTGCTTCAATAAAAACCTCAGAAAATGTAACTTTTATGTGGATTTACTTATGTTACTATAAGTTTCTCCAAATTCAGGTGAATGATTAACTTCGTTATGAAAGGATAAAGGGTCAATGTATTCGAGCCTATGCTAATGAGCATAGTAACAAAAAAAATACGATTTGAGTTGAATTGTGATTCCATGTGTGGCAATGGATAAGTTACCCATACCATCACTTCCACGTCAACGGTATTTCGTTTTTTTATACAAGCAACATTTATAAACTAGATAAAAAAAATAGTACAATAAAGGCAATTAACAGAAATGTCATACTAAAAAGAAAATACAACAGCATAATATGCAATAAAATCATTTTGATTGTCTAACTTGAAACACAGTGAATATTGGTGAGTGAAAAGAACCTTATTCTGATTTTACCTCTTCCAGTATAAAGAATATGAAATCTTTTCTTTTTCACAGAGTCAATACACTGAATTCTCTAATCAGTACCAGAATCTTGTAGTAAAGAATCATCATTATGTTGACAAAATGGATGAAATTGTGGCATTTAAAGAACTTGCAGAGTATTCTTAGTAGTACTATCACTAGTTGATGATGAGACTACCACCATAGGGCTAGCAAAACAGAGATATTAATAAATTGGATGACGAAAAGGCTTCCTCGAAACAAGTAGGAAGATCAACATGAGCATCAGATGGAAAAGTCTGTGGAAGATATTTTGGAAGCCGCGGCTTAGGATATAACTTGAAATATGAATAATATTTATGTCCAAAAATATGACAAGGAACAAAACGAAATAATATTTTCAAATTTCGCATGGTTGTAACATCCAATTCCACCAACAGTCTAGCGACTGACGGCTTAGTGAACTAGTTGCTGCAACATCCACCTTTATCGGCTTTCTAAAAAGGGAAGCTAAATAGAATAAAATAGATTGGTTGAAATAGTGCAAGTCAAGTCATGGAAATGAGATCCAAATAATATAGGAGGCTCCACCAAACAATCAAAATGGGGAGGGCCATTGTAACAAGGGAATTGAGAATCATAATATACTATAAGTGTCGAGAGAAGAGTCTGATGTAATATGCTTCTAATGAAAATCTAAATTGATTTGGGTTAAAAAGCCCAATAGAGTAATCACAAATCAATTGTCAATCAACCAAAAACTTACTAAATTCCTCCATGCAAGGGCTAACTAAAAAAGTTCTCGATAGGTGAAAGGGCGGAAGGCAGCATAAGCATAGATATTTCTTAATCAGAAAAGAGAAGAACATGCATGCCTTGAAAAGAAGGTTGTTTATTTTATGGTTTGTAGAAGTTTGATAAAAAATGGAGGATCATTTTATGGAGAGGGGAGATTATCGGCTCATTTGAACCATGAAGCACATTCACAAGGAAGCATGAAAGTTGAGAGGAAAGAGCGCAAGTATCCACGAAGATAAAAGAAAAGCAGCAGCAAAGAGATTAGCGGCTACAATAACATGTGATGATAATCATTGCAGGAAAACATACATAAATCCGCGAAAAGAACCGGTGGACCGAATTTTTTGTTGAACGTTATTTTGTGTTTTTGGCGTAAGACCCTGAACCGTCCGTCGGTTCTTACTATTATTTTTTTGACTAAATATTCCACTGTAAATCTATCATAAAACCCACAAACAATCAGTCGGCAATTGGTTTACTGGCTTTTGGCTAAAACACGTGCTGAAAAACTATCAAAACGGCAGCTGGTTCTTAGTATTAGTTTTAGACATTTTTACACATTTTTTTATTTATAGGAATTAGAAGAGATCACCTACCTCTCAAATTATAGGTGTTTATCCTTATATTTGTGTTGTTTGGGATTACTAAAGAAAAACATTTTTGTGAAAACCCGCATCAATTTCTACATCAAATATTATAACAACATTGATTTTGATGAAATTTGACGCAACAAGATATTGGTGGTGGTGTAAGATTCAATAGCTTGCTAATTTTCCATAGTTTGAATCTCCCGTTGATTTGATCAAATTTAACAAATCTTTGCATAATTAATTTGTCTTAGTTTCTCGTCTTACAACGTTATACCTAACCAAAGCAAATTTTGTATTTGATGGCCTTTAAACTATGAACCCCTATTTCTTTTACATGCCTTATACACTAATTATATCATGTTTGTATTAGGAAACATAGATCCTTAAGCATATTGCATCAGTTAACAATGCAAATTTAGAGAATAATTATCAAAATCTACTAATGATCTATCAGCATACTGAAAAGGTCATTTTTTTAGCTGTGTTTCCAAGATCACATACGAAAATAGTTGCCTAATCAAAAAAAGGCCTTATCACGATCTTAAAGTGAAAACTATCATATAGAAACAAATAGCTTCATTCAATTTCATAATAGATTATCTATTATGAAAGCAATAAAGTGAGAAGATGCAACACAAGCCCCACCTTACACATAGGAGCAACAAGCACCACGCCATCCCATTCTTTGGGCTGTTTTAGATGGATCTTAAGAGCCACAGCACCACCCATGGATTGACCAAGGAGAAAGTGTCGCAACCCTACAACTTCCCTTCTTTCTACAACGAAACACCATGTCAAACCAAGCATCCCTAAAGAAGAAGAAAAAGAATTACAAACCTCGAATATGGGCATACTGCTCTATGACAAGATCTACCATCTCATCGAAGCTATGGATGTAGCCGTGCAAACCATCTGAGAGACCAAATCCAGGTAAGTCCATGGCATAGACTCCATATCCTGCCGCTGCAATCCTCTTTGCAATCCCTGTTTTTTACAATGCTAGGTAATTCATTTATCCAATGATCAATAAATCCATCAACTGATCTACAACACAAAATCATTAGATAAAACAATCCACAAAAAACTCAAAACCAGCAAGAGACCTTCAAAGAAGAAAGTGCAGGTGTCACCGTAGCCATGGCAAAAAAAGAGGGTAGCCTTGGTGGTGGTGCCAAGGTTCGGAAGCCAGCTCTTCCAAAAAATCTCCATGCCCTTGGCATTCCTCTCGTACCTCTGCGCAATGAAGCATAATGGAGCAACATAGTTTAGCCTCTATAGCCATCACAAAGTCTTGCCTTTACTGGCTAGAAGGTTTCGCTTTCAGTTATCCGTTTTCAGGACAAAAATTAGCTAAATCTTTCATAAATTTGTAACTGTGTACACTATAGCTTCAGTTGGAAAGTATTTGTAATTACCAGGTGTTGGAAATCAAAAGAATGCAAAATTCATTAATTAATATGAAAGGGAAAATAAATAGCCCTTACATGAATTCTAGAATAGGAAAGACAATAAAAAGAAATAACAGGAAATGAAAGATATAACATCTAATATCTCCAATTAATCAATTCATATTGATTATTTGGAGATAAAGGAAACAACAAAAAAAGAAAGCCTAAAGCAGAAAAAGAATAAATCTAATCTAAGAACATAAACCTAAAATAAGAAAAAAATAATATTATATTAGGAATAAATCTAATACTCATAGCTTCTAATAGGCATAAATTATTTCCTAATATAACTTTTAACACTCACACTCAAGTTGAAATATGGTTCAAAACCATATTCAACTTGGATTTGAAAACATCAAACAACGAACGAGGAAAATCCTATAAAGTAGAACTTTAAGTCTTCATCCCGTACTGTGGTTGTCTTTCACTACAGTTCCTGCAATAACTGTAGATTTGCGGAAGACTTAATGTTAGATGGGAATTTGCAGGGAAGTAAACAACCTGCAAGAAAAGTCGACTTCTAGTTGACTGCAGTTGACTTTAATTGCAATTACTGCAGTGTCTGTATGTAGGTAGACTACTCCTACAGGTAATATTGTAGGGGAGTTTGTAGAGGAACAAACAATCTACAGGAAAACTAGTTTTTATTTGACTGCATTTCCTGCAGTGTCTGTAGGTAGGTGAAAGGCTCTTATAATTGATGTTATAGGGGAATTTGTAGGGAAGTAGATAACCCTAAGGAATAAACTACAGCGAATGGCCAACAAAAGAAGAAAAGGCTATGGAGGTAGGCCTTGTTGCAGGAAATGCTCCGGAAGAGGAATTGATACAGAAAAAGCTTGGGAGGAGGGAGTGCTGCAAAAAAAACTCTGGAGGAGGATTTGCTGCAGGAAAGTTTCTAGAGGAGAATCTGATTTAGGAAAGATTCTAGAAGAGGGTCAGCTGTAGAAAAAAGTTATAGAGAAAGGCCTGCTGCAGAAAAAAGTTCCGAATGAGGGTCTGATACAAGAAAATGTTTCGAAGGAGGGTCTGCAGTAGGGAAAAGCTTCAAAGGAGGGTCTACTGTAGGAAACAAGCTCAGGAGGAGGGTCTGCTGCAAGAAAAAGTACCAGAGGAGAACCTGCTGCAGAAAAAAGTTCCGAATGAGGACATGTTGCAAGGAAAAGCTCCAAAGAAGAGTCTGCTACAAAGAAAAGCTCTAGAGGAAGTCTTGTCGCAGGAAAAAACTCCAGAGAAGAGCCTGCTAGAAGGGAAGAGCTTCAAAGGAAGGACTGACTCATAATGCTCACTTCAAGATAAAGTGATTTCATCATCTCATGATTGCTCAATCTCAGTGATCGAACACCAAACTTGTCCGAAGAAAAGTCAGTTCCTTTCATAGTCCAAGAGAACATGACATTCATAAAAACCAGATAACCACCCAACTCTTCAACATTAGTAAGGCCAAATGGCTTGGATGCAACTGAACATTCTTTGAGAGATTCATATATAGCAAAAGTCGATACCGACATATGAAACTCCTATGACAAATGGAAGCCAGTCCCTGCACAGTGCATCGAATCCCTCTTTCCTGTAGACTCTAATGCATGGAACATCCCTCAATACTGGTAAGGAGATTTTTAGGTCTGGACTGTGATCCTACCTCTGATCATGTGCATGGGATAAGTAGCAATCATGGCAATAATCCCAGCACATGCTCTAGCACCAAGATGTAATACAGAAGTAATTTGTGCATCCTCGTTGCTAGTTTGCTGTCGGTAAAGCCACAAAATCCCTTTGGATGCCTGTAGTAAAATTTTAAACCTCTCAAGTGGAGCAACAGCAGTCCTTGATATTCCTCCAGCGACGCCTCCAGACACAAGAGAATTGCATATGCTAAGGTTCGCATGGCTAGGGACCTTAACTACTTCCCTTGAAAGCTTCGCCTCCTCAACCAGCTTCATGATTGTCACCACTGTGGTCTCGCCCGTGCTCTTTCCCACCACATCCTCTATTGCCATAGAATGCCCTAGAAATCACCAAGCACTTCCAGAGAATAACAGAAAAAGTGGTAAAGCTCAAAAACATTCAAGCAGGGTGGTGAGGGACAAAGAGATCGGAGCAACTGACGAGTGTCCAAGAAAAGTTCTGAAACTGACGATTTATATGAAGCAACCTCCACTTCGCGATGCAGTGATGATGGAGATTGGAGAGCGAGAAGGAATAACAAATACGACTGAGATGAGCCGAGGAGCGGGGGATAGGAAGTTTCCGGTAGCAATAGATCTTCTTCTCTGCTAGAGACTCTAAAAGTTTTTTCAACTCTAACACCATGTTGGAATTCAGAATAACGCAAAATTATTTTATTAATAAGAAAGTAAGCATAAATGATCCTTACTTGAATTCTAGAATAGGAAAGAAAATAAAAAAATAACAAGAAAGAAAAGATACAACACCTAATATCTCCAATTAATCAATTCATATTAATTATTTGGTAATAAAATAAATAACATAAAATAGAAAAGTTTAAAATAGAAAAGGAAGCAAATCCAATCAAATATATATATATATATATA